ATATAGGAGGCCCAGCTTCCTTCCCTGTCACCCACAGTCTGATTGAATTGCCCCAGCTAGTTGTTTCCGCCCACTGCAGCACACCAGGAAGTTGCAGACCAGGCAACCTATGCGGGCCGGCTCCTCCAAGGTCACCTTCAGGAGCTGGGACCTGGGCTATGCTAGCCTACTGGGTCTCAGCCAGCAGCATCACGTGGGCTAGGCATTGCTCACCAATCCCACTTGAGAGGGGGATACATGACTGAAGTCACTGCAGCGCCCTGTTCCCATAAGTCTGCCAGGTCCCAGAATGTCCTCTGTTGGAGTCTCCTGGACCATGAAAGAGCCCCAGTTTTCCCTCACTCACTGGAGGTGGATGCACGGCTCCCCACCTGTCCCTCTATCAACTCCGTTCACCGATTCCCATTCTCCAAGCTTCTGCGCATCTCTCTCCCTGCTGAGCCGATTTAGACGCATCAGCGGCGCGAGAAACCCAAATCGCGGCTTCCAATGGCACGGGTTCCAACTTCCACACTGAGGCTTTATCTGTTCCTGTTATAGCTCCAGGATTGCATTCCCAGTTGGTTTCTCTCAGCCCAGTTTGTTCTTGGGTCACCAGGGCATATCTTCTCTTGCTTATGATTCCTTACTCCGCACCATTCCTGAATTCTAAGCTGGGTCTTTCAGAGAGCCTCCATAGCTGCTGCTATCTGTCCACCATGTTCTCCTGGAACAAAGTTTTCTCTTTTATTACTAGATTATTTCTAAGTATCTGAAGTAACACTGTGTCACTTCAATTACCTGCCACTTCTCTGTGAATTCTGAAATTTATGTTTCACTTGTATCTTATTTCTACTTTTAAGTTAATCCTATCGGAACAAACAACAGAACTTGGGCTGGGGATTTAGCTCAGCGGCATAAGTACCTGCCTTGCAAGCAGGTGGTCGTGAGTTCAATCCCTGGTACCGATAAAAAGAAAGAAAAAAAAAAAACTTGATGGAATAGTGGAGGGAAAAAAATAGATTATAATCTTGGTTTTTAGTTGTTGACCCAAAGCAAGTAAAAAACAAAAATTCAACCTCAAATTTCTTCTTTGTAAATATAAATTCATAACCATCCTATTTTCAAAATTAGAGACAGTATTGCTGGTCGCATGTAGGTGAGTAGATTGTTGGTTAACAAAGGCCAGGCTCAGAAAGAGTGAAGTTGTAGCAATGGAGAAAAGTTAATTAATGGGTACTAAGCTACCGTTAGGAGCAACATGCTCTGGAGCACTGTTGCATAGTATAATAACTGTAGATAACAGCAATGTACTGTACATTTCCAGAAACTAGAAATAATTTTGAAGTAAATAAGAAGATAAATATTTTAACCTGATTTAAACATATGCAATGTCTACATGCATTGATATGTACATTATACATATGTACACATAATATGTACAGCTTTCATTTATGTTGTGTTGTATGTGTGTTTCTAGGATTGAATCTAGGGCCTCGCATGTACTAGGCAAGTGCTGTACCTTGGGATATAATCTCAGTTCAACTTTTATGCTTTTATGTATGAGTTAAAGTTTTTTTTTTTTAATTTGAAGTTCATGCTTATATAGGCACTTATTTTTTTTTAATTTTATTTAAGGAGAAAAAAGAAAAAAAACAGAAAAAGGGTACAAGTTATACAGAATTTCAGAAAAAATAAACAGTAGGAAATCACTAGTTAATTACATATTGTCATCTTAGAAATAGTTGTTGAAGTTACAATATTAAAGCATATAGAGGGGACTTTCAAACAGTGAGACTGCTAACAGTTTTGTTCAGTGATCCAACAAAACTCAGTAATACGGTTATCTATCTTATACACTTAAATACATATGCAGTTATATCTTTTAGAGAACTTTTTTTTCCTTTCTTTTGTATAATGACAATTATACATTTTGGGTTTTATTGCTCCCACAGTTCTTATTACTTTTTTTTTGGAAGAAAGTAAAACCAAATGTGACATACCAGGACAGAGTCAGTCAAATCAAAAGGATGGGCATAATACATAATGTAAAAACAAAATACAAGGTGATCAACAATGGTTACCACAATGCCTCTTGTTATCTTAAAAAGAATTGCCTATATCATCAATTGTAATAAAATTGAACAAAACAGTAAAGAATAAGACCAATAAAACCAAAACATTGGAGACATTAGAGGACTTCAAAAGAAGATAATAGTCAACCAGAATGGGTGTCACAATGGATCTTACTGTCTTCATAGTTGTTGTCTATACTTGCAAACTTGGTACTTTCTAGCATAACAGAATAGAGGAAAATCAGTCAAAACAAGATGGTGAGAGCAATACAGAGTTTCAAATCAAGTTAATAGGAAATCAAAGTGGGTTACTGTAATATATCCTGCTATTTTTATTTATTTTTCCCTTAATTAATAGGATAAAAATGAAAAAGTAGATAATAAAAAGGAGATTGAGATAAAAAAGAGGGAATAACAACAAAACAGTGCAGGTCAAAACATAGCCATTTAAGCAAAATAGTGTTTCACCACAAGATAATCTCGACATAATAGTAGTTACCATAGCGTCTCTTCCCTTAAAATCTTTGGGTATAACTTCATATACTGTAGCATCAAACATATCAAGACAATGTAAAACTGTTCAAGAGAATGACAGTATTGCAGGGTATTTAGAATCAACTAACAGAAAATGAACAATGGTTTCTGTATAATCTCCTTGTCTATAAAAGTTTTTTATATTATCACATATAATAAAATCTAGTAAGATACAACATGTTAAAACTGATGGAGACAGAACAACTAAAGCTTGATGGGACTTCAAAACAAGAGGATATTAAATCAGCACTACCTATTATGATGTCTTGTTTTCTCCAAAATGGCTGTTCCTACCATCCAACCTTCTCTGCCTCATTTCTGTTGAGCTCTTTTTCTGTCATTAGTTGTCAGTTTGTCCTCTTCATTTGGCTTTCTGCTCCATTCATTGTGGCCTCTATGCCACTGTTTCTGGAATCTTGGTATTTTTCATTTTTTAGAATATCCTGCAGTAATGTCTGTAGAGTTGAATTGGTGGTTGCAAATTCCCCTAGTTCCTCTTTATCCTGGAAGCACCTTGTTTTTCCATCAATTTCTAGGGACAGTTGTGCAGGATATATCAATCTTGGCTGGAGGTTATTATCTTTCAAAGCTTGAATTATTTCCCCCATGCTCTTCGTGATTTGATGGTTTGTGCTGAGAAGTCTGCTGTAATTCTGATGGGTGTTCCCTTGTAAGTGATCTGTTCCTTGTCTTTGACGGCTTTTAATATTCTGTTCTTATATTGGATTTCTGGAATTTTGATTTGTATATGCCTGGGTGTAGCTCTGTTTGGGTTGTAGATGGCTGGGGTCCTGTATCCCTTATACATCTGAGTATCTTTACCTTTTGCTAAATTAGGGAAATTCTCCTGGATTATTTCTGTGAATAGCTTTTGTAATTCATTTGTTTGAGTCCCTACTTCTTCTTTTACGTTCTTAAATCTTAAGTTATGGATCCTCTTATTATCTTCTAGTCTTTGTATTATTGCTGTTTGTTTTCTTGTTATTTTTAAGAAGTTTTTCATTTCAAGTTCCCACCTTACAAATCTGCCCTCCAGTTCAGATAATCTATCCTTAGTTTCTGTCAAGCTGTTATGCCAGCTTTTAATAGAGTTTTTAGTTTCCTGATAATCTCTTTGAACCTGATTCACGTATTCTATGTTTTCTCTATTTTCTCCATGAAACAATTCTCCCCTTTTTTTCTGTTCTTCCATTCTACCATCTGTTTTTTCTTGGGCGGCGCTTAGCATTTCTCTAACTATTCTACTTATGTCTTGTTTCATTTCATTACATACTTCATTTTTGTACTCATCTATGAGGCTCTGGAGATACCGCTTTATGTCTATAGGTGCCATGTTTGATATTCCATGTTTTCTGTCTTCATTCTCTTTTTCATTTACCTTTCCTGGATCAGTGTTCTCAGGATTGGGGACTGAGGACCCTTTCTTGTTGCTCCCTTTTCCCATACTTTTTGTTCCTTCCATACAAGCATATGTAGGAGGCGCAGTTTTTTTTTCTCTTTGTTGGTTACAGTTTGTTTGAATTCGCCAGCTAGGTGTTCCCGCCCACTGCAGTGTACTAGGGAGACACAGACCTGGTCAGCCTCTGCTGGGCCCACCCCTCCAGGTCAACCTACTGAATGCTTCACTGCTAGGGTACACCACCAGGCACAGGGACCTGATTTGGGCTAGCCTACTGGATCTTAGTTCGCAGCGTCACCAGGCCAAGCCCTCCCCACCACTCCCACTTGAGAGGGGAATATGCGACTAAAGTCACTGCAGGGCCCTATTCCGGCTAGTCTGCTTGTTCCCAGAATGTCCTCTGTTGGATCCTCCTAGTCTATGAAAGGGTCCCCATTTCATTCACCGCAGGTCAATGCAGGGTTCCCTGCCAGTCCCGCTCTCAACGCTGTTTGGTTCGGGGATTCTAGCTCTCACAGCTTTCGCACTTATCTCTCCGTGATGTGCCAATTCAGACGCAGCTGCGGCAGCAGGAAATTCAAATCATGGCTTCCACAGGTGCGGGTTCCAGCTTCCGCACTGAGATTTTATTTGTTCCTGTTATAGCAGCAGGATTGCATTTCCAGTTGGTTTCTCTCAGCTTAGTTCATTCCTGGGTCGGCAGGTTACATCTCCCCTCGCGTAGGACTCCTCACACGGCACCGCTCCTGGGTTCTAAGCTGGTAATCTCAGAGAGCCTCCGTGGTTGCTGTTATTTGTCCACCATCTTCTCCCGGAAATCCTAGGCACTTATTAATAGTGATTTTTATGATTGTTTTAATAAAACACTATTGTTATTTATCTTACACACTAATGCTATTTGAGCGTGTAATAATTTTATTTTTATATACCTGTCATTACATATGAAGTGTAAAGAAAATATAATTCAGAACAGATACAAAACTTAGATATTTTAATGTAATTTTCTCTTTCAGAATTACTTACTGTCATCTACCTTTCCAGAGTAAATGGCTCTATGTTGGAACAGAAAGAGGAAATACACATATTGTAAATATTGAATCTTTCATTCTTTCCGGATATGTTATCATGTGGAACAAAGCAATAGAACTGTAAGTTTGAACTTGGTAGCACATTATTTGGTTTAAATATTTTGCAAAGTTATGTAACATACACAATACACTAAATTGCAATTATTTTATACATTGATTGCTCATTTATAATTGACTTTAATGTAAAGTTGAACTAAAATTATAGATGCCTTTAAAAATAGATACAGTGGTAGTATGTATACTAATACTAGATTTTCCAAATACTCTAAGACTTTTATTTACAAATTTTAATTATAAAATAGGATCATTCTACAAATTGTGTGTGGAAATCATCTCACTATTATAATCAACCTTAGTATAACTACTTTAAGGGAAAATATTGTTTTATGTAAAAAATAATCATAATCAGAGCACATTTTTAAATGCTTATAATTTATTTTTCCCTTGCCTTTAAAATACTGTTTGGATACAAAGGAAAAAGGATGGACTATATTAATCTCTCTCAAATTGTGTACATATGCAGCATTTTTGGTTTGCGCCTCACAGCAATTACCATTTTGACTTTGATACTAATACTTTTTTCTGCATATGTAAAATGTGAAGATTTTTAAATGTGAACCCTCATAAAATTGAGAGGTATCCATCTGTTGTAGTGAATATATAAGCAATTCTCTTAGTCAGTATGTCAATCATAAAAACTATTTATATTCAGTAAATGTTTATGCTTTTTATATAATGTATCCTTAATAACCTATGTTAGACTTTAGGCTAGCTATGTTTTCTCTCATGGAATTAATAATAATTCTCAAAATTTCAATGAAAATATTCTATTTTCATGAGGCTTCACTCTAGTCTTTATAATAAATGTCTAGTACATTCCTTAATCTCAGTGTTTCAATGCACATGTACATTGTGTGGTTGTTGTTAGTTGTACTCTTGTTACAATAGCATTTTTTATTAAATCCTAATGGGTTTTTTTATTAATGAACAATTTTCTTCCCTCATTACATTAAAAATTGCTATAGGGCAAAATTTTGTTTTTTTTTTATATTTGGCTTTTTCTTTTACAGTGACTACTAAACGACTGATGACATTATTGAGGTATTACTCTGATAATTACAACTATTGACTTACAGCTTTCATTTTTGTTGTCAAGCTAATGGATATGAGCCATTTTACTCTTATTTGTTGTAATGTCCTACATTCTATATATATATTTTTAAAAATATTTATTCTGTAGATAACTGTATTTTCCAAGAAGTTATTATTTTACCTATTTGGAAGAATCTTTCTCCCTATAGTTTTAGCTCTAAAAAAGCCATGAGTAGTACTGGATATAATTGTTTTTGTATAGTACACACTATTTTAGGATGTTGACAAAAACATACAGAATTAGATAAGCTAGGGGAAGGGGATTTAGCTCAGCAGTATAAGCACCAAAAAAAAAAAAAAAATAAGGTAAGCTTGACAGAACAAATTATAGAATGTCTAAACAATTTTAGTATTAGTACAGATGTAAAGATATATTATTTTTGTTAGCTTGAATGTTGCTAAAATAATTGAGTGTCTTTGAGAAGGATCCACCCACATACTTCCTGTTACATGCCTTTTACTTTACTCCTTATTTGTATTTTTGAAGGAGAGAGAAAAGAAGGGTAGGAACAGGCAAAGAAAAAGAATTAAGATGTGTTATGTACATATATTAACTCCACATAAGGAGTGTAAAAACATCAAGTGTTACAAACAAATTAAAAGAAAACCCCAAGGAAGGGAATCAGGATGTGAATAAAGGGGTAGGAATGGAAGGGAAAAGAGGATAGAAAAAAAGGAATTAAAATATGTGTTATGTACATCTGCCAATTCTCTCTAACAATGTAAATATTACATACTATAAACATGCACTAGTAAAAATTCTTAAAAGTTTGTTTCAAGCATATTATTTAATTACTCCTGCAATGAGTTTGTATTTTTCTGCACATCTTTTTCATCATTCAAACTTTAATGAACAAGTCGCATACATTATTTATGCAGTCTACACTTTATGAATACATGACTAATGAAAAGCTTAAAATACACATTTTTAAAGAAGGGTAAAAGTGGAGAAATTAAACTAGTAAAATAAGGCATTTCGACTTTTGGAGTATGATCCAGTATTAGAAGAGTGTCCATCATTTTGTTTATACATTCTGTATTTTATAAGAATTCAAGCCTCTGGCAATGCCTTTGGAATATCTTTTAAGAAATTATTAATGGTTTATTTTGTCCAAATTTCCTAAAGTGTGTTCATTGGAATTTTAATTCCTCCATGATAGATTGTGAATGTCAACTTTCAGTCTCCCAAAATTGCCTTTTAATTGCCTTCTACCTCTTGCAATACATTAGAAATTACATTCCACTTTCTGTTAATATGTATTAAGTGTATGGGACAGTAATAAAATATGCTTCAATACGCATTTTATAAATATAATTTTAATCCATGAATTCTAAAACCTATTTTCTGGGTATGCAAAATGAAAGGATTGTCTTTGAAAGATATTTGATTATTCCTATTTTAAGTACTCATTTGGCTGCTTTTCACTCAGTCTTTATTTTCATGTTTCTAAAATTTTATATAGGTTATTTGGAGCCTGAAATATTTTGCATTGAAAGAGTGATGACTAAGGATATCATAGAATGGCAGTACTAAAGTATCATTAAAAATATTTCTATGAGAAGATATAGGAGATAGCACAGAAGTAATTATTTCTGGTGGAGTACATATAGTATTTCTAAAAATGTAACCTTTTTTCTACATATGATTAAATTTTATCGTGACATCTTGGAATTCTTAGAGTTACGTTTGCTTTTAATCAAACATTGCTATTTGAAGAAAAAAGATTAAATAGAAAGATAATTATTATGGGAAATATATTTTGGCAATTCCATAAGAAAATCATCTGATATAAACCTCAGAGAAGTCTCTGTGAAAGGAATTATATCTATGCTGAGAGCTGAAGGATGAGTTTTCAGATACACAAGTGAAGAATCAGGACAAAGATGACAATTTTCCAGGAAAAAACCCCAAAATGTTCAGAGGATAGATGGTGAGAATTTTATGTTCCATGACTAGAAATGTTTGAGTTTTGGTTGGTTTGAATGGCTGGAGGAGAAGATGACAAGAGGTATATCTGGGGCTGTAATCAGGGCATATATATAAATGGTCTTATAAGCCACTTTGAGCAGTTTGAACTTTAAAGTCAATAGGAAGCTAGACTTTAAATGGTTTTAGACAGATGTGATTTGATTAAATTTAAATTTTAAAAATATTCTATTCAGGAATGGAGAAATGATTGGAGAGAGAGTAAAAAATTATACTCTGGGTAAAAATTATAATACTTTGTGGGTAAGAGTTAAGCTGTTTTATTTTAAAAATAGAGGAAAAAGTGGAACAAATATAAAGAGAAAATTCAAGGATGGTATAGAGGTATTTGTCTTGAAGAACTGTATAATAGTGCCTGTTACTGAAAGAGAGCCGAAGGTTTAAGTTTTGAAGTAAAGCAGTGTTCAATTTTAGGTGTGTTGAACTGTAAATGTTCATTACATTCAAATGGTAATTAAAAATGAGAAGAGGGATATAGCTGAGCAGCACAGCGCCTACCTGGCAAGCACAGTGTTCTGAGTTCAGTGTCTGGTACCCTGCCGCCAAAAAAATTAGATTTCCAGTTTTCAGTGAAAGAATTCGTGATGAAATTATCCTACTGTAGTATTCTTGCAGGGATCTGTGAAACAATTTGGGTTTCGTAGGTGGGCAATGTGCCATCTAGTTTGTCACAGTTCTTATTCTTTTTAACTCAGTGACTACCATGGATTTTTAAATTCATGACCATATATTACATAGAAATACATGGCAGTTTAGGACATGATACCATGCAGTATTAACATTTAGGATAGGACAATATGAAAAGACCAACAAATCAATTTAAGATTCAGATGTTCTTTATTATTTTGGGCAGAATCATGATTTTCATACATGCTTAAGCCATGATGAATGGGAGAAAGAGAAATGAATTGTGATGTGCAGAAGAATTACTGAGCATTGTTTAGGTGTTGTTATATGAATTTATTGTCATTGATTTTTCTATCTAAAATAATTTTTTGAAATTTCATGATCCATTATTTTATATTTTTAAAAATTCATTATAAATAACAGAAATTTATTCTGATAAACAAATATAATCCTACATTATTCTGCTGAATTAGTTGGTTTTATAACCAACTAGAAGAATCTTGCATATAGTTTCATTCCCTAAAAAAATATTTTAGTGATTCCCTTATGGTAAATGAAAAAAGATTTCAGTGGATCAACAAGGTTGGAAAATATTGAAGATTTGGGACAAGTATTTGCATATTACTCGTTCTAAAAAGTTTTGTAGGAAAAAATATTTAACCTTATTTAATTTAGAGTTTCCCAAACTTTAAGGAAATGAGTCACTCTTTCTGTGGAATGTCTTATATCTCCACTAGTTGAAAATGGAATACACTTTGGTAAAAGCAGTGCAGTCAAACCCTAGACAAGAGGTTTTTCTTTTGTTTTGTGCTTTTGCTTATTCACTATTGTTAGCTAGTAAGTGGTAACGTAAACATTATACTTTATTAGAAGTAGTTATATCTTTATGGAAACTATATGTATAAATGGTATTTTACATACCACTGTAGAAAAAACTGCAAAATACTAGTATGAAACCTGTTTTTTTTCTTTCCAGACTATATTGTAGAATGCAAAATAATAAATTTCCAATGATTGTCAGAAAAATCATAAAACATACTATTAATAAATGGGTTAATGTTTTGCCATTATATTAGGTATTATATGAATATAATTTCTAATCTGCACAGTTATTCAGTAAGATCACGCTTACTGAATGGAGGCTAATACTTTGTTTTTAGATGAGAAAATTTAGAATAAATCCACTATTAATATCTAATCTGTATTTATTTTTTCTGAGAATTTAGTATTGGGGAGCCTAAAATTACTTAAATTTTCACTTTTATCTAATTCTAAGTTTTTAAAGATTTAAATATTCTTCATTGCTTTGTGCTGAATCTTTCATGATTTTCATGTGTGTTTAAAAATAAACTAAAACTAGACAATGTGTGCATCAAAATAAACTAGTCAGGTGTGGTAGCACATGCCTGTAAGCCCAGCACTTTGGAGGCTGAAGCACGGGATTACCATAAATTACAGGCCAGCTGGGGTTATATAAATGAGTTTAAGGCTAGAAGTTCATAGCAAGATCCTGTCTGAAAAACAAACAAGCAAACTAACCACAAAGAAAGTGAACACGAGGTGAATTTAACCTGGCACGATTACTTTTATTTTAAAAGGCTAGGAGAAACTGAGCACAATAAATCTCTGATCATATCAGGTTATTTCATAATTAACCATAATATAGACACATGAATAAGTTAAACTAGGTATTATGAAAAATATATGCCAGATATCAGAGTAGAATAAGATCAGATCCACAGGGTCCCTTTAAGAATACATTGTTCTTCTTACAATTATGTTGTTCATTACATGGGATAACCACAGAATATATGGAGTATAGCTAATGAATTAGGGTTCCCCAGCTTATCAGTTTTCTGGAAGATGGCAATCACTAGAATGAACTTCTTTTTAAATTAAAGGTCCCACTGTACTTTTGTTTAGGAGTAAAATCAGAGATTTCATTGTCATAAGCAAATTAAATCAGGTATGTACTTTCAAATTTGGTTGAAACAAGTTCACTGCACCAATTTTATGGTTATAATTTAAGTCAATTTCAAATTTTCAGATGTTCATATACACAACAAATAATGACAAATCTGATTTTTATGCAGAAATTTGTTCTTAAATCTGATTTTTTTTAGAAAATTGCATCTTATTTAGAGTTAATAGAGGAAAGCAAAGTAGTGCATAAATAAAACCAAAATTTGTACAAATTTGAGCTTAACTCCTGAATTTCTTTACTTCAGTCTCTATAACAAGTTAATGTTTAGTTTTTAATTAATGCTTTGAATTAATTTAACAGGTCCACCAAAACTCATCCAGGTCCAGTTGTACATTTAAGTGATAGTCCAAGAGATGAAGGGAAAGTAAGTATTATAACATCATTATACGTGCTTTTATTTTACTCATTCTTGATAAAAATGTATTCTCCTCCCTATCTTCCTCTTCTTTCTCCTTCCTCTTGTCCTTTCAAAACATTCAGTGTTACAATTAAATTTGAATGTATGGAGTGAGAAAATGAATGAGTGGATGAATTACTCATGCTCGTAAAGGTCCCTCACTAAGTCTTCAGTATCATTTGGTGCTAAATTTGATACTTAATTTGAAGCTAGAGGAAGTTAATATGTAGAACAATGTTTATTGTCTAATATTTAATGCTTGAACTTTATGTCAATATCATAAACATTTGTCTTTGTTGTTTAGTTTTGATAGTGATAAATAACCAATTTTAAATAACATAAATCAGCCAATCTTGATATCATAAATGTTACTAATATATAAAATGTTAACAGAATACAGAGAATCCTTATTACTTTTGATTACTTGATAATTGGCCTTTGATGATGAGGAAATAAAATTGGTAACATGAAGTGATCTAAGGAATCACTACTACAATATGCTATGCACATGTAATGATTATATACTGAAAATTTGTATTGATAGAAATAAAAATTTGCTGTCATAAATAAGTTTCTTCAAGTATCTAATTTTTGATAAAGACTTTAGAAAATATCAGTAAGTTATTTATCAGGGGTTTCGTTCTTTATCGGGAAAGGATAGAAACTGAGCTATCTAGTCATTGTGCTGTACACCTGTAATCCCAACAATTCAAAGGTTGAGGCACGAGAATTGTTGCGAGTGTCAGGCCAGCGTGAACTGTTCATTGTGAGACTGTGTTAGAAAAAGAGAAAGAAAGAAAGAAAGAAAGAAAGAAAGAAAGAAAGAAAGAAAGAAGAGAGAGAGAGAGAAAGAAAAGTAAGAAAGAAAAGAGAAGAAAAGAGAAAAAAAAAAACTGAAATAACCTAATAAAAATTAAACCAGAATGGCAAGTGTACATGATGGAACAACATTGCATTCCCTCAAACTGATCTGTAAATTTGGTGTAATTCCAATCAGGTGCCATCAGAATTGATTTATTAAGAATTCAGAAGCTGATTTTGAAATTGATTACAGAAAGAAAAATTTTAAAAATAGCCAAGACATTGTTTAAGACGAAATGCTGTGTAGTATTATTTCATAAGTATACAAGAATACCAGTCATCTAAATACATATTCCTCAAATAGTTCAGGAGAAATTTTATACATTTTAGAGAAGATATTTTAGGACATAGTTTACTTATTTTATAAATGGTATTGGAAAGTTCACTGTCCACTTAAAAAAATAGCAAGATCTCCACTTTAAACCTTTCTCAGTAATAAATGTCATATTAGAAAATATGTAAAACACATAAACATTGAAACCACATCTTAGAAAGCATTTGAAGAAACTTACAGAATATAGTTTGTTCCTTTAGAGTAGGGACACAGGCAAGACATAAAACCTACAACCGGTAAGGAGTATAATAGCATAACAAGATGACCATAAAAGACAATATTTGCTACAAATAACAGGTAAATAATGAATATTAAGAAAATACAACAAACCTTTGGTAATAATACATCAATAGATGTTATTTAATAAATTACAAAAAGGCAACAGAAATATATTTAGATATGTGAACATTAGTACTAGAAAAAGTATTTTTAGAGTTTGAAAACATGGTTTTCTTATCCCTAAAGATCAGTGTCTGAGAGTGAGGAGGAAATAGCCTCCCAACTAATTACCAATATACCAATTTCCCCCATCATACTTGCAAAATACTAAAAATTTATATAAAGCTAGCAATACTCAGTAATGAAAGAAACCACTGTTGCATAGACATCTAGATATATGTTTATATACCAATATGAGAAATTTAAAATTATCTACATTTAAAACATGTATTTTAAAAATCATTACAATCTAGTAAATCAATTTCAAATGTTTTTATGTGATACTAGCGTGAGATATTTCAAATGGTCTAAATGTCTATCGGTAGAAAATTGAACAAATGAATGCTGATATACAAAGGAAAGTTTCTTCAGATATATTTTTGAAGGAAAAGTTGTGAAGCAGGAAGACATAGAACCATTGTTAAAAGCCTGTAAAAAGCCTGAAAAAATATATGCAAATCAAGGAAGAACACTGGAAATTAGGATTGGGAAAAATAGTAAAAATTACTGATTTTCCTTGTGCTGTTCGTATTTTTAGGAATGAGTGTAATATGTGGGAGTCATATAATTTCAATTAAAGAAATGCAAAATAAATGAATACTGGCCTCAGAAAACTATGTGAGTTGAGGCTGTACTACTTATTAACATATAACCTTAAATCACTTTGTCAGTGAATGAAGTAATGTTAAGTTTTTAAATTTACCTACATTATTGAATGTTTTGTTTTTAATAGCTAGCTGTCCTTAGATTTTCTGGCATAGTTGTATATTAAAGCACAACAAATGTAGATAAATTTGATGTCTTCCCAATATTTATACATATATATATATATATATAGTATATTTTAAGTGTTTTCTTGGCTGTTACTCTGTAATGTTGAATATAATGGCCTTACCGTTGCTTTCAGTCTCAGAGGAAATTTTTTTAAGATTTTAACAATAAGTAAGATATTGCTATAGGCCTTTGGCCGGTTGCTTTTTTGAAATTAAAAAATTTCCACCTATTTACAGAATTCTAAGAATTTTAAACTGTGAATCTTGATGAATTTCATTATCTATATTTTATGTTTATCATTTAGATAATTATTACCTGACTTGTTAAGTTTGTTGAAATATGTTAATAGATTAAATTTTAAATAACTATGTACTTCTGGGATTATTCAATTTGGAAGAGAAAGTTTCCCTTGAGGTTTGCTGGTTAAGTGAAAGAAAAATTAAAGTATTGCAGCTAAAATTCCTACCCAACAAGCAAAATAGATTGTAAAATCAGAAGACAGAACATTTTATACCCGCAAGATATAATTTACAAAGAAAATGCAATTAGTCTGTCAAACAAAAAAAGTACTTGCGAATGGTACCTATATTGAGCATAGTAATGATTTCATCTCTCAGATTCTAAGCTTTGTTTGTCTCCTAAAGCTTGACTGTTCCTTCACCTGAGCTTTGTTAATTTCAAGCAGAGTTAAATTCATACAGTACTGCTTCCCGAAGTTGGCTATGCCTAGAGTCTCTGGATCCTCTCATTAATTAAGAATTCAAAAGATGTGCCATAAATAGGCCCTTCGATCTGGCTTCCCTAACAAGATAGAGGAAATTTTTCCTGCTTTCCTTCTCTTCTCCCTTTTGACTGTGTGATGGATGTCCTTATTCTGGGCTACTTGTTTGTTTGTTTGCTTCCTTGCTTGTTTGACATAAACTATTAGAAGCTCATATCAATGAACTGCTACAAGTTCATATCAATGAAACAATTGCTAAGTGACTGGAATATCTCTCTGCTTCTCCACATAAAATAGTGGTTAGTGGAATAATGAATCACCTTACTTTTACTTCTTTTGTTTTATTTCGCTTTCCCTTTCCTGTTACCTTTCTGTATTATTATTCCCTGACATTACACTTTTTCATGAAACATTCACACTTAAATTTTTCCATGAGATTTTTTCGTATAGAATCAGGTTCATAATAGTTATCATAGTTGTTCTAGATCAAGGTTTAGACTATAGCCCATGAGCCAAATCTGGCCTGCTGCCTCTTATAAAATGTTTTATTTGGAGTACAACCATGTTTTGTTATTAACACATTGTCTGGAGCTGCTTTCCTCATATCAAAGCAAAGCAAAGCATTTGTGATAGGGACCATATGGCCTGCAAAGCCTAAATTATTTGCTATCTTCCCCTTTACATAAAACATTTGCTGACTCCTCTTCCAGATGGTAGACCCTCAGCATGGGATTTTGCATTGGATTGTCTGGTTTCTAAAATCAAAGAATCTGTTGAAGGTGCCACATGGATAGGCATTAAACTCTGCCACACAGTCACATAATAGTTACTTGGACCTTCTCTTGGTAATTAATTGGGATACGGGCTGCTGGAAAGATTAAGATAATGAGTGATCAGATACTTGTGATTATTTAATTTATAAGGGGCAATGATAAGCATAATGATGATGACAAAAATAGATTCATTGGATGGTATTTGCATTTTTTATTACTGATATAAATGATTACAATGTCATTGCTGAAAACAGTAATTTTTTACATTATAATTTTGTAGGCCAGAAGTTCAACACAGGTCTCACTGGACTATAATCACAAGGTATTGGGAATTTAGTATTTCTTTAGGTACTCCAGAAAAGAATCTGATTTCTTGCCTTTTCAGAATCTGCACACATTTCCTTGGGTTATAGCTCCCTTTCTCCAGCTTGAAAGCCAACAGTGTAGCTTCTTTCTGATTTTCTGTCCATTACTGCATCCTGTCTGACAACATGTGGGAAGCATTCTCCACTCTGAAGGACTCAGGTGATTAGTTTTTATCCACTTGGGTAAGCCAGGATAATCCTAATGTAAAGACATCAACCTCCAATCCTTAAATATATTTGAAATATCTTTGTCATATAAAGAAATTTTTGTATGTATGGTGCTAAAAATCAAATCTAGAGCTGTTTTTATAATAAGCACACACTCTACACCCATAGCCCACTTGGATTATATTTGAATATTCTGAGGATTAGACTGTTGGCATTGTTAGAAGTTCTTTATTCTGTTGAAGTCATACTAGAAGTTAATTACTGATTTATCTCACCCTAAAGCCCTGTGAGATAGCTCTAAAGTAACTATTATTTCCTTTAGCTCTAGGTCCAGTATCTGTTTATAGAGTCCAAACACATAGGCTTTTATAGGCATCATTGTTACAGTCAGAGCCCTAATGAAGAATATGACCATAATATCTGGTATATTTTTTAGGGTGCCATAACAAATTCCTAGAAACTGGGTGACTTAAAACAACAAAAAATTAATTTCATAATTCTGGAAACCAGAAGTGTGAAATCAAGTTGTTGTT